CAGCCTGTGAACCTGGGTCTCTCACAGGAGATAAAGAACAGCCTGTGAACCTGGGTCTCTCACAGGAGATAAAGAACAGCCTGTGAACCTGGGTCCTCCCTTTCCTCACCTGAAAATGAAGTCCACCCTCACATCGCTGCTGCTCAAAAACCTTCAAAGTTCCCTACTACCAAGTTCAGACTTCTGGTCCCATCTTACAGGTTCATCATACTCTTTCCAGACACGTCACCCACTGCTTCTCACCTGGAACTTTTATTTCAAGGCTAGTTTTGATCCACTTCCCGTAAGATAGTACATGCTTTCTTGCTCATCAGCCTGTGGAAACACCGTTTTGGCAGCAGTAAGCACTCTGTTCTTACTGAGTTAGTCAGATGATCTGAAATTGTCAGTTTTCTTATCTACAAAGCCTCCGTGAGGTTACTCTGATCCCTGATCTCAATATTTAAAATTATAGCCTCCATCTCACAACTGTGGCTCTTCAAAACCCTCATGTGACTGTATTTTTTTCTTTTTTATAGTGTTTATCTTCTGACTGACCTACTTGTGAAGTTCATTCTTTTTTTTTTTTGTTATTTTTATTTTTATTTTTTTTTTGAGACAAGGTCTCTCTCTGTCACCCAGGCTGTAGTGCAGTGGCACAATTACGGCTCACTGCAGCCTTGACCTCCTGGGCTCACGTGATCCTCCCATCTCAGCCTCCCAAATAGCTGGGGAAACAGGCAGTCACCACTATGCCCAGCTAACTTTTAAGTTTGTGTGTTTTTTTTTTTTTTTTTTTTTTGTAGAGATGAGGTCTCACTATATTACCCATGCTGGGAAGTTCATTCTTTAGCGCCTCCCACCTGTTAGAACATGAGCTCCAGGAAGTCAGGGACTTTGACCTGTTTTGTTCACTGGTGATGGTATTCTAAGGACCTAAAACAGAGCTTGCAACCTGGTAGACACTTAGGAATGAATGAATGCACCAAATAGATGAATGAATGACTGAATGATTGGATTCTACCCTGGAAAGGCATAGATTTAAGAAGAACGACGTTCAAAGGTGCTGGGCAACCAAAAGGAATGACAAATGCTCTACGACAGCTTCAGAGAAGTGCCCAGAGGCTGCATATGCAGAAGTTCTACGTTCTGATTGCAAGAAAAACAATCCTTCTGTGGGTCACTTATGTGGAAAAGGGGGGAATAAAGTTGTTGCAAAGATTTAGTGGTATAGACTTTCTAAGGAACCTGCAACCTCCTAAGGCTTGGATAGGGAAGTGTCTGTGGTGTTAGAATTACTTAGGATTGTATGGGTTTACTCTTTGTCTCATTAATAAGACTATCAACTATACAGAAACAGACCATGTAAAATTCCTTGTTGTAAAACCCATTGCACCCTACACCACCATTCCTGAAATGGGCAAATGGTGCCATCCTAGCACCAGTGCCTTGGGTTAGCTCCCCTGCTGCAGGAAGTATAAGGAGAATGAGGGCAGTTCTTCTCACTTTTCCTTGGTATTTCTTTTTTCTTTTTTTTTTTCTGAGACGGAGTCTCGCTCTGTCGCCCAGGCTGGAGTGCAGTGGCGTGATCTCGGCTCACTGCAACCTCCACCTCCTGGGTTCAAGCAATTCCCCTGCCTCAGCCTCCCGAGTTTTCCTCAGTTTGCAGTGTCAGGCTTCCAGCTGGCACTCTGGAGTGATCATCTCATTTTACTCCAACCACGTTCCTGGAAGGAGGATAGTTTGATTGCCAGCAGTGATGCTGGTTCAGAGAGATTAAGCGGTCACTCAGTGTAACTCAGAGGCAGAAGCAAAACCGACGTTTGTCTGTGTGTAAAGTTCTCATTCTTCCAACCACACCACACTGCCTTAAAATGTCTCTGGGGCTCACACCGCAGCAGGTAGGTAAGGGGTTTGCAGTTCCTGACCTGTTCTTTCCTGTGTGTGGGCATTCTTCCAGTGACTGTTGGTAGACATTTTTTGACAATTCTGCCCGATTCCTTTGAATGTCAAGGATAAAACTCTCTTTCACTCTGCCAAGATTTTCTCCAACTTTCATCACCCTGGCAGGAACTTTACTAATCTCTTTTTTAAACATTCTAGTAGTGAATATTCATAGATAATTTACAAAAGAGAAACCAGAAATAGCAAATGTGCAAAATTATTTAATCGCTCTAATAATAATGGAATACAAATTCAGCAAGGTGTCATTTTCACCTAAACTTTTTTGACATACATTAAAACATAGCAGAAAAAGTGTTTTAGAGATGTTATTCAAGCTTGATGTCACTGTAAATTGATAAAGTGCTTTGGGAAAACAATTTGACAATATGCGTCAAGAATTAGAAAAGTATCACAGTCTTCGACCTAGGTCAGACTTTAGGGTACTTTTGGTGCCCTATTCTAAAGAAGTGATTCGAAATGCGCATACAGTTTATAAGCTCAAATATGTTCGCCAAAGCATTCTTTATAATACTGAAATATTGGGAACTAGGCCCAAATATCCACTGACAAGTAAATGGTTACATCAAAGGGTACACTTACTGGAGGGAGTAGAATGTAGCTCTTAAAACAATGGTAGGATAATCACACGGCAAGCACAAGACCACATGAATAATCTAAGAGGAAACCTTAGATTATAAGGTCAATAAGTGCCAACCTTAGCGCTTATAGATAATAATATTGGCCAAAAATTCAGTAGACTTTTAATCTGCAGGATTGGTGATGATATGAGACAACAGACATATAGTGTTGGAATGAGGACTCAGTGTGGCGCTGAGGGCCAAGGGCAAACATCAGATCTCTTAACTTGGCCGGAAGTCTCTGTCCTAAATGCCCCAGGCCGCAGAGACAGGACTACTCATCTCCACTTGTTTAGGAATAGTGGGGTAAAGGGCTTTTAATCTGAAAAGGTTTCAAATGAAATAAACAACTGTTGATGTAAATCCACCCATGTTATTGTTTTGTGGTAAATTTAGGGACAATCTGTATGTTTTGGTATTTAATTATTGGCAATATTTTAGAGAATGTAGCATATAAGAACAGCTGTTGGATTAAACCTGTGATGCCAGTATATGGGTTACTATTAAGTAACTGATTCTTTTTCTTTTTCCTTTTTTTTTTTTTTTGGAGACAGGTTCTCACTCTGTCATCCAGGCATGGAGTGCAGTGGTGTGATCATGGCTTATTGTAGTCTCAACCTCGTGGGTTCAAGTGATCCTCCTGCCTCGTCCTCTCAAGTGGCTGAGACTAGAGGCCCACACCACCACTACTGGAAATTTTTCTTTTCTTTTTTCCTTCCTTCCTTCCTTCCTTTTTTTTTTTTTTTTTTTTTTTTTTGATGGAGTCTCGCTGTGTCACCCAGGCTAGAGTTCAGTGGCTTGATCTTGGCTCATCACTGCAGCCTCCACCTCCCGGGCTCAAGTGATTCTCCTGCCACAGCCTGCCGAGTAGCTGGGACTACAAGTGTGAGCCACCACGCCTGGCTAACTTTTGTATTTTTAGTGGAGATGAGGTTTTACCATGTTGGCCAGGCTGGTCTCAAACTCCTGACTTTAGGCGATCCTCCTGCCTTGGCCTCCCAAAGTGCTGGGATTATAGGTGTGAACCACCATGCCCAGCCAAGTAACTGATTTTAGGCTTGGGACTTTTAGTAGGAAGTTATAAGAGAATTTTACTAAGTTTTGAACTAGTATTGGAATTTGTAAAATAATTAAGATTAAATTTTATACATTTATTAGGTTTACTACAATCAAGTAATTGAGAAAGTTCGGCTAATTTAAAGTCATTTAAAATTTTTTTAAAAAGATATAATATTTTAATACTTAAGTCGAAAATAACCTGAAGCCTTGCCCAGTGGCTCATGCCTGTAACCCTAGCACTTTTGGAGGTCAATGTGGGAGGATCACTTGAGCCCAGGCATTCAAGACCAGCCTAGGCAACATGGCGAGACCCCGCATCTACAAGCAAACAAACAAAAAATTAGCTGGGTATGTTGGTGTGCACCTATAGTCCCAGCTACATAGGTGTCTGAGGCAGGAGGATTCTCTAAACCCAGGAGGGTCAATGCTTCAGTGAGCTGTAGTCACGCCACTGCACTCCAGCCTGGGTGACAGAATGAGACCCTTTCTCAAAGAATAATAATAATAATAATTTAACCTGAAATAACTTGGGTTTAAAACATCACGTGAATTAAGTAACTGTGACACATCCTTAAGAGTGATTGTCACAGTTCACTAGGTTTTTAAATAGTACAATGTGATTTATAAATTAGATAAAAGGGCATGGGAAAATTAGGCTTTTGAGTGTATAAATGTAATAACAAGAATTAATTTTAAAAATCAAAATAACTGCAAACAGTGCAGTTACTCCCTCAAGTATAGTCTCACATCGACAAGAAAAGCTTTTTAAGTTACAAAGTGACAAACCAATGCACAGAATATGAACCCAGACATGTAAAGCAGAAGAAAGCAAAACAGCATGTTTCTATTTGTGCATGATAATGGATGTAAGTGTGATAGAAATAGGTCTGAGAAAGTAAACTCCAAGCTGCTAACTGTGGGTTCCTTCTAGGCAAAGGAATAGAAACTGGCAAAAGATGAAGGGAGACTGTCATTATTAGTGTATTTAATTATGTGTCATTTTATTTTTTTAAAAAGTAAAGAAAAATGTAACCTTATGTTAATTAGTTAATTATTTGAAAGCAAAAGTCATTTTAAATTTTGAGTGAATCAAGTCTGGGACATTAACTGCATCACAGGTGCAATTGTACAAAATGTCCGGTAGGTGGAGCCCTAATACAAACCTGTGGGTGAGATTTATTTAGCAAAAAAGAAAGGAGGACCAGCATTCAAATGGAGTCAGGAATTTTTAAGGACAGGGCCGCTAGTCCAGAGCCATGGGATATATTTCCAAGCCAACATTAGATGGTTTCATAATTTTAAAAATTCATCTTTTAGTTAGTTTAAAAGAATTCAGTAATTTCTCTTTTTACAAACCCAGTGGTCAGATGCTGTTTACTATGAATAGGGTCCATATTTTGGGCGGGCCCTCTGTTGATGTCTTTGTGTCAGGACACTTAAACTCTGACAATGTAGCCATCAGTAGGGAACCTGGCTAACACTGTGTTCCATACATACAATAAAAATTCATCCACAAGGAAGAATGAATTAACTCCCTATGTACCAATATGGAAGCATGTTCAAGATATGATGCAACACACGTTGTAGATTCCTTTTGTACTTAGATTAAAGGATATCTAAAGACATTTAAGGATAACTTGCAGGGCAGCAGCAGGTCCTGTTGTCTAGAGAAGGTTTTTGCTCGGGAAACAATGTCTTGAGATGGTATTTCAATGACATGTGTGCTTAGGATTTCAGAAATAGGAATTAGTTCTATTAAGCAGGTTTAGCATGCATGTGTGCATTGCATTCCTGGAAAGAGAACTCAAACTATCAAAGTTGGTTTTCTATGGAAAATGCAAATGGAGAGACTAAGAGACTTTTACTTTCCACTTTATAACTTCCTATATACTATGTAAATTTCTCCACGGTGTGCACAATTTGCTTTTTTTGTTTCTTTCTTTCTTTCTTTTTTTTTTTTTTACTGGTAGCAGTATAATTTATTCAAATGTGCCTTAATATAGGTGCTAGGGCTTGCCTATGGTGCTCTTGATATATAAGGCCAGGACATTCTGCCAGTTTTTCTGCCAGTTTTTCTTGAGCAATGTCACCAAGAAGTTGACAGGCAGGTGAATGTTACACACAAGCTCATTGTCTGTCCTTTTCACGTGGCCAACAGCCACAGCCAGACATAACACGTTCTTCATTTGGAACTTGATTATGGACTTCATCTCATCCACTTTGGCCACCATGTTTTTGTTGTGTGTGCCAGCAGGGAGGGGACATTTCCTGCCTTATTTAGACCTGGGCCGAGAATTCGTGGGATGTGCTTGATCAGAGACTCTGAGGCCAAAAATGCATCATACTCTTGGCCAGCTTCTTGACCAATTTTCTATTCTTGTTGAGTTTTCTCAGTACTTTGTTTTCCATGTGGGGGATATCCACAGCCTTCGCCTTGTCACAGTGCTGCTGGTTTTCAGGACACACACGAAGAACTTGGGGCGGGGAATGGACTTAAGCCTGACGGTGCCCGAGAATCACTTGTCCTTCTGGGGAGTCATAGTTCTTCAAGCTGATCTGCAACTCCACCATCTCCAGAAACTTGGGGTCCTTGCGCTGGTTCCGGTGCAGGACTTCCGCACCGCCACCTACAGGGTGTCACGGGAGACTGCTGCTCCTAGCTTCTCGCTCCACGCTAACCAGAAAAGAGGCTAAAACTGCACATATATTTTTGAGTGTAGATTCCATACACCAATACTGACACTTTCTCTATTTCCCTGTTAATTTGCAGGGCAGCAGCCACTACTCAAAGAAAAGCCCCAAGTCTTTATGCAGAACAAAGTGCGGTTCTTATCGTTCCCCTCCTTCTGGTGCTGGCTTCCGGGACTCAACTGTAACTGGGAACTGTGTTGCTCTAACCCTCCCCCAGCCCTGCAGCCTCCCCTTGCAATCATTTTTCCTGTTCTGTGTATACCAAATGATTCTGTTGTCTAAAGAAGCTCTTTGCGGGGAAAACGATGTCCTGAAATGGTATTTCAATGAGACATATGCGCAGGATTTCAGAAACAAGAAATTAGTTCTATTTAGCAGGTTTAAAAATGCTGCATTAGATTTAAAGCAAGTTATTTTCTTACTTTTATAATGACACAAAGCACTGGGAGTCAGACTGCTTGTATATTATCAAACATTTTTAGAGAATTCTAATAAAGCTGTATTTTACATCATCTATATTTTCCTGTATCTCCAGCAGCACGCACACTGCATGCTTGTTGATCACTTAAGACATATGTATACTATATAAATTATATGCATATATATTTTGTCTGTAAAGATTTCATTTATTTGGTATAAAGATGTTCAGTTACTGGTTCCTTTTTGTTTTGAGAGACAGAGTTTCGCTCCTTTGCCCAGACTGGAGTGAAGTGGTGAGATCTCAGCTCACTGCAACCTCCACTTCCAGGATTCAAGCAATTCTCCTGCCTCAGCCTCCTGAGTAGCTGGGATTGCAGGTGACTGCCACCTTGCCCAGCTAATTTTTGTGTTTTTAGTAGAGACAAGGTTTCACCATGTTGGCCAGGCCAGTCTCAAACTCCTGATCTCAGGTGATCCACCCGCCTCAGCCTCCCAAAGTGCTAGGATTACAGGTGTGAGCCACCACACCCAGCCATAATAGTTACTTATAATGAGGGAAAAACCCAAAATGTCCAGTAGTATTTACATATTTACTGAAACTGTTTGGAACTTGTATTAGTTGGTTCTTGCATTGCTATAAAGAACTACCTGAGACTGGGTAATTTACAAAAAAAATAAAAAAGAGATTTAATTGACTCACAGTTCTGTGTCCGGAATTGGTTCCTTCTGGTGGATTCTTGGTCTCGCTGACTTCAAGAATAAAGCTGTGGACCTTCGTGGTAGTGTTACAGCTCTTAAAGATGGTGTGTCTGGAGTTTGTTCCTTCAGACGTGCCCGGAGTTTCTTCCTTCTGATGGGTTCGTGGTCTCGCTGACTTTAAGAATGAAGCTGTGGACCTTTGCAGTGAGTGTTACAGCTCTTAAAGGTGGTGCGGACCCAAAGCGTGAGCAGCAGCAAGATTTACTGTAAAGAGCAAAAGAACACAACTTCCACACTGTGGAAGGGGACCCAAGTGGGTTGCCACTGCTGGCTCTGTGGCCAGCTTTTATGCCCTTATTTGGCCCCACGCTGATTGGTCCATTTTACAGAGTGCTGACTGGTCCATTTTACAGAGTGATGATTGGTGTATTTACAATCCTTTAGCTAGACACAGAGTGCTGATTGGTGTATTTTTACAGAGTGCTGATTGGTGCATTTACAATCCTTTAGCTAGACACAGAGCGCTGATTGGTGTGTTTTTACAGAGTGCTGATTGGTGCATATACAATCCTTTAGCTAGACAGAAAAGTTCTCCAAGTCCCCACTGGACCCAGGAAGTCCAGCTGTCTTCACCTCTCAGTTCCACAGGCGTACAGGAAGCATGGCTGGGGAGGCCTCAGGAAACTTTTGATCATTGTGGAAGGCAAAAGGGAAGCAGGCATGTCTTACATGGCCAGAGAAGGAGGAAGGGAGTGAAGGGGGAGGTGCTACATGCTTTCAAACAACCAGATCTTGTGAGAACTCTGTCATGAGACAGCACTAGGGGGATGGTGCTAAATCATCAGAAACTACCTACATGATCCAATCACCTCCCACCAGGCCCCACCTTCAACAATTCAATATGAAATTTAGGTGGGGATACAGAGCCAAACCATATCAGAGCCATTTACATGGGTTTTAATATGTTTGTAGAATGGAGTATCATTCAACAAGTAAAAGCCATGTTTACCAATTCAAATGTCCTTCAGATGGTGAATGAATAAACTAACTGGTAAATCTATACCATGGAATACTACTCAGCAATAAAGGTAACTACCTTGATATATGCAGCAATATGGATGAAACTGAAATGTGAGAGCTGCCACACCAAAAGGCTACCAACTGTATGATTCTATTTATATGAGATCCTCGAAAAGGCAGAACTGTAGGAGCGGAGGGCAGACCAGTGATTGTGGGTGTTGAGGATGATTAGGACTAGAGGGAGGCGCTGACTGCAAAGTGACACTGAGAGAAAAATTTGGGGAGCGATGGAACTCCTCTGTGTCTTGATTGTGGTGGTGACTGCATGAATCCATGTGTTTGTCAACACTCATGGACCTGTATATGAAAAAGAGTAAATTTTATTTTATGTAAGCTAAAAAGAAATGTTTTCAAAGAACATTTAATCACATAGGAAAATGTGTAAGAGATAAAATATAAAACTTTATCGTGTGATGCAAATGTCTAAAGTATGATACAAATTTAATATATTATGAATGTGTGTGCAGATGACATACATATATTATAAATGAATGACACAAAAGAAAATAAACCAAAAGGCAAAGCAGTTTTCTTCAGACGGTGGTCTTATTTTATATCTGACTTTTGATATTTTTGTGTTTTCCAAATTTTCTCCAATGAGTATGTGTTGCTTTTATTATCAGAAAAAGAGAAACACAAACACACACACACACAGACACACACATCATATGTGTAGTAATTTGACCCGACATAAAACATTTCCAGAAGGGAAAAACGAAACCAAAATCTCATCACAGACACTTCTGTGATCTCTTTACTGCTTGTTTGACCTAAAGCAAGTGTGGGTCGTTAGGCATGAAAGCTGATGATTCTAATTCTGATGCCCCAGGGCCAGCAAGTGGCAGAGGAGCTCCTTACCTTCCCGTAGGGTGCTATAGATCTCTGTAGAGAAAACGACCATGCAGCCCCTGGTGACCCCAGGCAGCAGCAGGACATCTCTCCAGCCCCACAGCTCTGAATGCCAAGCTCTCTCTTCCTTACCCTGCCACCCCCACCTCTGGTGAGATCCTCCTGACAGTGTCGTTACTCAATTTTTGTGGACACTTGACCAAATATTCACTATAAAACTAGGAAAACACACAGCTTTATGGTTATTGCATGTATATAGATATATATTAGGTTGGTGCAAAAATAATTGTGGTTTTTGCCTCAAAAACTTGAAGTCAGGAGTTTGAGACACGCCTGGACAACACAGTGAAACCCTGTCTCCACTAAAAATACAAAAATTAGCTGGGTGTGTTGGTGTGCGCCTGCCCAGCTACTTGGGAGGCTAAAGCAGGAAAATTGCTTGAACCTGGAAGATGGAGGTTGCAGTGAGCCGAGATCGCGCCAGAACACTCCAGCTTGGATGACAGAGTGAGAATCTCTCTCTCAAAAAAACAAACAAACAAACAAACAAAAACACCCCCTGCCATTTGAAAAACAAAAAAGCCTGATATTACTTTTAATGGCAAAAACTGCAATTACTTGCACCAACCTAATAGAGAAAACACAGTGAATTAAAAACTCAACCTTGTGAATATCTAGAGATCCTCTCAGACATTGCTTTGGGCTGACTTCAGTCTCTTTCGTTTGAAATCACACAATGGCTTTTAAACTTGTTTCCTGTGCCTTCTGCCTCTTTCTCTTCCGACTTTTCATCTCCCATCATTACCCCCACTTTGTGGGGTCTACACACAGGTCTGCCCTGCCCCATGGTGCTCAATCCAGGGGTTGTCCCTGCATTGCAGGAGGGGCCAGGCTACTTGACCGTCACCATCGGTTACCTTCATCATGACCACAGCAAGCATTCACTGAGTTATACTTGTCATGCCTTCCAGTTTCCATGACCAGCATACTCCAAAGCACCTGGCAGAACAGTGGATTCCTTCCTCCGTGGGATGCTATGGGGCCAGGTTTTGGTAGCATTACCGAAACACCAGGGTTTTCTCCAGGTCCTGCTGCTCACTGCACCGAAAGCAAGTCACTGAGATGAGCATTGCCAGAGAAGAAGGCTTTTTCGGGTGCTGCAGCCAAGAAGAAGGGGAGATCAGTCTCAAAATTGTCTCCTTTACCAGTCGACTAAACTTAGGGGTTTACATAGCAGGAAGGAAAAGTAACTATATGTGAGAAAACAGGAATGAGGGAGGGGTAAGGAAGAGAAGCTGCTAAATAGGAATCATGATTGATGAAGGGTCTGGCATCTAATTGTGTGGATGTGGTGGTCTGGTGAGTTTTGGTTCCTTGATACTAACTGGGTGGCCTAAGGGTCAGTTTCCTGAGGAAGGAATTCAGATAAGACAAATGTAAGTTTCAACCTTTAAGATGAGAGGGTCAATTTTCATGTTTATCCAAAAAACAGTAGACATCAGTTCTCTGGGACAGCTGGGCTGGTTTCAGTCGGACACTGCCACAGGGAGCAGGCAGGAGTGGGAACCAGGCCACACTCAGAAGGGTTAAGGAAAGAGACTATGGGAAGGGAGACTACAGAGAAATGAAATCCATGAAAATCTGGCATGTGGTAGAATGTTCATTTGGTTAGCCACTGGTGTGTGTTGTAAAAGCGGTATCAGCTTCTTACAGAAGGTGTGCTCAGCTGGGCTCCTCTAACCAAGTTGCTTGGTGCTCTACGCAGACGTGCTCTCTACTCTCTCCCTCCTCAGGGTCTTTGAATATGTTGGTCTCTCTGTGTTGATTTTCCTTCCTGCCCTGTCTCCCATCTGGCAGACACTAAGACATACCTTAAACATCACCTCCTCCCTGGATCCTTCTGTGGACCTCTCTCCCTGCAAAAGAGCAAATAATTCCCTAACAGGGCCCATCTCCATGGTGTCAGCATTATTTGGGTCCTTGCCTGACTTCACCCTGTGACTGTGGCTTCTTTGTAGACTCACCCATCTTTGCAGCCCTAGCCTAGCCCTCCCTGGGATGAAGTAGACCTTCCACATGTGAATAAACTAAGTTTAATAGAGGAAAACACAGGGTTAGGTATTATTTAGCTTTCTTTTGTTGGAGGAGGCCAGGGAGGGTACAAGGGAAGATTAATAGCATGGTGTGCCATGCTTTCCTGTATTTATGCCATACTTCCATGAAACACTTGAAGTGTGTGATATTGCTAGGGTGTGTGAGGGGAGCAGTGAGGGAAGATGACAAGCAGCATAAGACTTTTGGGTACTCAGAGAAAGAGAAAAAGACCCAACCAACCAACTTCCAATTCATAATTCATGGTTTGTCTCAGGACCGTCTGGCTCCTCAGGCCAATCCCATGGGAGCCCCAGCCAAGGGGTGTCTCTTAGGCCAAGCTTGGAGAACACAGTGTCTGCTGCCTTCATGT